AAGGACCCAGCCTACATCCCAATGTCACATTTCAAAACATGCCATGAACTAAAACAGCACATGCTTCAAAGCTGGGACTTCTAAGGTGGTCTCTGATTGACCACCCCTTAATTAAGGTCTTAAATTGTACACAGTGGTTCCGTAGGCCAGGCTTTCCGAAGAAAATGCCCGCTTAGCTGCTTGAAACATGGACAATTGGGGTCATTCCTAAGTGACTCTGAGGAAGCTTAGAGAATGGGCTCCATCCTTGGTGAGGAAGCAAGGATGAGGAAGAGAACATCTGCTCCGAACCAACCTGCAGCTGACTGCTGCTGCTGTGATTTAAAGGCATGTGAGTGGGCAAAGGGACAGCAGGTTTGGGAGTGACAGCAAGGAGAGTGTCAGGCTAGCGTCAGGTGACTCAAAACAAGATAGCCAGAAACAGGACAATCCCACATCCACAGGGAGCCCACATTCAGCACTGTCAGAGACCATGGGAAATGTAATCCTTCAGCCACCCCTAACCTCCCTCCAGCAGGGCTTGCCACATCTCAGACACAGGTCACTGTCTCAGCTCCTAAGGCAGACTAGCATTTGTTGTGCCTTGATGACTGACAGTGGGGGCCTGAGACTTCAAATCTTTATCCCCACCATGAGTTCTGTCAACAAGGATCACAAGCGGGTGTTTCTGATACCACAGTCCAGGTTGATGAGTGTGAACCTGAGGTACAGTTTAGTGACAAATGGGGTGGAAATCTTAACACAAAACAACCATATGGGGCTGGATTTTTTTGTTTTTAGATTTTTTAAAATTTTAATTAGAAACAAGCTTGCTTCACATGTCAATCCCAGCTCCCTCTCCCTCCCCTTCTCTGCCCCCACAACCGACCCCAGCCCTCCAGCCAATCCCCATTCCGTTCCCCAGGGAGAGTGAAGCCCTCCATGGGGGGGTCTCCAGAGTCTGTCATTTCATTCAGGGCAGGGCTTAGGCGCTCCCACAAGAGTCTGGATCTTTAAGGACTGACATTGCCAACAGTTAGTTGTGTAGTTTTGACCTTGGGGTTAGTGTCATTCTGTAGAATACAGAGTACCCAGATCCATGAGAAATCCATGTAAGCAGTGAATGAATCCTTGCATGGAGGACATGCTTAAGCTAACAAATGACCTACTGCTCAACTCAAGTGCCAATTTAACTGAGTTTCCTTTCTAATTTGTTTCCAAGTGACCACCAGCACTGACTCCAGACACTCTAGGAACACCTGACTAGTGTGGGCTCAGGACAGTGATCAGGTCCAGCTGACAGATTGAAGCTTCAAGAGTGAGCTTGAAAGAATACTCTTTGTGACTTTTTCCCATTCTCACACCCTGCCTTTCAGACACTTCTAAATAGAACTTTTCATGCAGGGCATTCTATGCTCCCTGTCTGCAAAGCATTGTTTTCTCACCTGAGCAGACATAAAGAGCTCAGTGTCCCATGTAGAAAGGGTGAGATTTAAAAATTGCCTTCTGTCTTTCCCCATCTCCAGGCTCCCTGTTTATTCTCCTCCACTGACCCCCAGGCTCTTTGTCTACTGTAAAGCATCACCCTTATTTCTCATGGAAGACACAAGCAGAGAAGGCGCAGGGTGTCTTTCATCTAATATCCCTGCTTTGAATGGGCCAGGGGAGGAAATGTTACTGATTTAAGAGATCTTTCCCAAAGCAGAAACATGCCTGGAGTTCCTTCAGTCTGCTCACCCTTATGGTTGTGGAACTCCCCTTAACTACCGCTGGCACTTGCACTGCCACATAGCCCCTCCTGTGCCCAGCCTGTTCCAACTTCCTGCCTAACTGTGTGCATGCTCTGGTAATCTTTTATTATGTCATCATGCATTTCAGTGTGTGATGGCTATTATGTTTTAGAGGCCCCCGTTCAGATTTATGGAGCGAATGAGAAAAGCACTTTTTTTGGAAATGCAATCTAATTAATCTGAGTGCATTTGTATGCCTATTAAAATTCACCTGTCTGGGTTTTTCCATTTATCATGATTATACTGAGAAAGGGACTGCCTCTGTGTTTAATACCAGATGATCTATCATCACAATGCTTTTAGTAATGGTGCAGGTGCAATGGACACTTCTGTGTGACCAGCCCTCAGGGCTCATATCCCAAGGATGCCCCCAAAGCTCTCCTTGTGTACCAGAGATACAATGACAGCTTCATGAAGTTCCAGATAGGGAAAGGGGATGGCACTTTAAGCGACAGCATAGAGATAAGCCATTTGATTGCAGATGATAGTGCCCTTGACTTTCTAGCCTGTAGCCCAAGACCATTGTCAGGCCCAGGAAGGGGATCCCTTGGAGTCAGCAGCCTTTAGCACTTGCTGGGGTGTGTGCTTGTTAACTCAATACAAACAAGTAAATCATTTTCTAGGGCTATGTACACATAGAAAGTTCTGAAAGTGAACTGTGGTGATCAAAGTTTGAGAAATTGCAATCTGATGAAAAATCACTTGTTGTGACCTTGAATCCATCCTTGGGCTATCTGCCCAGAGTTGGCAAGTCCTGGTGAGGGTGGGAAGAGCAAGGAGTGATGAAGTGCCCCATCTGAGTCCCAGAACTGAAAGACATCCTCTCAAATCACAAATAGGCAGACCCCCAAAGTTTCCATGTGTAGAGGGATGACAACAATGGTGCATGAAGCTGGTTGGGGAGAGGGGTGAGCCTAAGTGGGCTATGGATGAGTAGAAGGGAAGGGGTGCCATTTCATAACTGCTCCTTTTGTAAAATTATTTCTTCAAAATGCTTAAAGGTCAAGTGCTAGAGAGATGGTTCAGCAGACCATCTGCCGCTTTTTCAGAGAACCAGAATTCAATTTCCAGCACCCAAACAGAGGCTCACAACTCTTTGTTGACTCCAGTTCCCAGGGATTTTATGTCTTCTTCTGGCCTCTGCAGGTACTGTACTCACATGTAGGCAAAACACCCATAGACACAAAATAAAATTAAAAAGTAAGGGGAAAAATGCTTAAAAGTCAACAAGAAACAGGTGTAGTGTTTTAATCTCAGCATTCAGGGAGGGAATGCAGGTGGACCTTTCTGAGTTCTAGCCTGGTCTACCTAGCAAATTCCAGACCAATAAGGGCAATATTTAAAAAAAAGGCAAACAAATTCTTCATGGTTTAAAGATCAAATAAAAATATATTGCATTGAACTTTTTAAAAACTATGTTTCGCTGGGCGTTGGTGGCACCCACCTTTAATCCCAGCACTCTGGAGGCAGAGGCAGGCCGATCTCTGTGAGTTCGAGGCCAGCCTGGTCTACAGAGTGAGTTCCATGACAGGCTCCAAAACAATACAGAGAAACCCTGTCTCGAAAAACCAATACATAAATAAATAAATAAATACAAACTATGTTTCTAAAAATCAATATTGTGGCAATGGGCAGTGGAATGACATAGAGAACAAAATTTTCTTGAAATCAAAACAAGTTTCATTTACCACAAGTTCACTATCAGTCAGTCAGTTAACACTTGGGCTCTCTGTGTCTTTGAGCATTGACTAACCCTGGATTCAGGGTATCAAAGCCAAGCACTTTAGACAAACAGAGCCAGCCTGAAGCAGGCTGTAAGGATTACAGTGACTATTTCAGACCATTACATTTGGATCAATTGTTTTTCTTACCCTTTATTAACATGATGCATGAAACTCAAAAGTAACTATTTGTGGCCTTGAATTGAGATTTAGTCTTCCAACTCTCCAAATGCTTACTTTATCTTTTTTATTTTGAGACAGGGTCTTACTATAGAGTCCAGCCTGGGCATGAACTTGTCATCCCCTTGTTTCACCCTCTGGAACAAAACCATTGGCCCCTTCAAATTCTTCTTCAACTCTAACCAAAGAGTCATTCAGATTTCCAGTGCCTTTACCCATTTACCCATCTACTTCCTTGTAGGCAACAGCCTAGGTTGGCAACAAAATCTCTACCTTTGCCATCCTGACCCTGCCTCCAGAAAGACACCAGAAGGATGGCTGGGATGTCTAACACTCGAAGATCTTGAGAAAATCAAGTGCCATCATTATGAATTTCCCACTGTTTGGCTGAACTGAAAGTCATGGGTGCACCAAGGGGAGAGATTTGGCTACAAATAAATACGCATGTGTCCTTTGGGCAGATGTCAGGCCAGCTCTGGCTGTTAAGTGATGCCCTCGTCAAAAAGGCAGACAACACAGGAAGGCAAGGTGATGCTTGCAGCCCTACATCTTCTGCTCCATCACAGCCAGCAGTCTGGAACCTGCGCCATATTTGGAAATCCATCTCCCCGAACATTGCAGACAGCTTAATGAAGCAATATTTATGGAGTATATACCACGGGGGATGGCTGCTCCTTTTCTCCATCTTCTATTTTTAATATTTGATCTGGCAAACGTATTATTAAAGGAATATTTCAAGTCTGATTACTCTTCTATTTGACTGTATGTGTTATTCATGCACGCTGGGTGTCAGGGGAAATTACGCCTGGTTTGAGAGTTTTATTATGTCACTCTTTCAAAGAGCCCTTTGCTCTGGTATAATTACTGTTGCCATGCAAGGCTATGGATCCATGGCCCATCTGAGCCACCTTGTTGTGGCCTCCTCCTATTCCACTGCTCCCTCTGACTCCCAGCAGTTCCTGTGGATTAGGAACTTTCTCCCTTGGTCTCCCTGGCTATGTGAAAAGTCACCTTGTGAGTCTTGCTTTGCTGGTTGCTGTTTATTGAGCTGCACTTCCTGACCACTAAGCCCAATAGAGTGAAGATCACACTGTTATGGCCTGTCCTTTACTGGGAGCCTTGGTCCAGTCTGAGGTTCACTGGCCTGGGAGTCTCAACTCTTTGCTTTTCCTTTCACTAGACTCTAGATGCACCTTGAACCACCTGGGAAATCTACTTCCTTTGGACAAGAAATCCTATTTCTAACTTGGCTTTTAAAGGCTAGAGGGAGCCATGCGCAGAGGTTCCGTCTCAACAGGGAACAGACACTGAGGTCAAGCCTTAGACTCACCTCCTGTCAGCCCACCGAAGGATGTGGTTTAGATGATCACTAACTCAACATACAAATGATGCTCATTGCATCGTTTGTTGTTATTTGTTTGTCTTGACAAATTATTTGTTGTTTGCTTTTCTTATGAGAACAAGATGGCAAACCCTTTGTTCTGTGTGGGCAATGAAATCTCTGCTATACAAGTACTCAGCTGTGCCACTGGGGCACTGAGGAAGCCACAGCAGACATGGAGCCCTGTGAAAAAAAAGCATAAAGCTTTGTGTGAAAAGACAGGCAGTGAGTTTGATTCCTGCTTCAGACTTTCTTTGAATTAGGCACATATTCTAAAAGAAAAATAGTATCACAATTTTAAAAAGATTCCACTATGAGTGGGATGACACACTGATCAACATTCAGTAGGCTGAGGCAGGAGAATATCCAATTCAAGGACGTCTTCATCTACATTTAAAGGCTTGATTGACACAAAAAAGAAGGGGCAAGAATGGAAAGGGTAGGGAGAGGGGGGCTGTCAAACATCTTACTTTGATAAGGTTACAGACTTAGTTTGAGTTAGCATGTTTTCCCTAGTACATTAAAAATACTTAGTTGGCATTAAAAAAAAAGGTTCTTATGTTTCTTCTCTGTCCCTTTGGGAAATGCCAGGCCAGATGATGATAGAGTCAATGTAAAAGCACCCAGTGGCCCAAACAATTAATTCCTCTTCACTTTTATCAGACAAAATCAGAGAGAAGGAAGTGATCAAAGCCCAGGTCTGGCCCCAAGTTTTTCCTGCTTCTGGGGAGCCCAGCCCAGCTTCTAGACAATAATAATAATTTTCATTCACTCTCCTTGTTCAGATGCCCACTGGCAAGCAGACAGGGCTGCCATGTTAGAACCCACGTCTTCGCAGAACCAACATGTGATTAATAAATGAAAGATAATAGAAATGGACACTGTAGAAAAGAAAAGGGCAATGGAGAAAAAATAGGCAGAATGAGAGAGGACAGAGAAGCCTGGGCTTCTTAGACAACACAGTAAGAAAGGCCTCTCTAAGGAAGGGCCCGTAAGGTAGAATTAGGATTAAGGGGCACAAGCAATAATGAGCTAGGTAAATGGCAAGGAAGAGTGGATGCAGGGGTGGGCAACTGTAGGTCAGGTAAAGATTGTCTAACCATGGCCAAGATGCCAGCAATAGCCAGGAGAGCATGCAAGAAAGCATGAATGAGAAGGGAGAGGGCTGGAAGAGAAGTGGCAGGTCCATCATGTTAGCACACAGATGAGGGAGGTCTGGTCATCTAAACGTCCTTATCTCTACCCGTTCCACCACCTCCTTTGGAAACTGCCATCAAAACACACATTCTTTGTCCTAGGGATTGTGAATCCATTGCCTCTACCCTTGCATTCTTATATATTTGCTGCAATCATATTTCCCAACCCTTGAAATACATATCAAGTTGCGTGAACTCTCAGAACATCAGACATATGACCATAGATGGATAGCTGATGAAATCCCCCAGCTGACCAGCAGCAGGCAGGACCTGCCTAGTGAGATCTTCGGAAAGGATTAGATCACCTCCTTGGGCAGGCAGTCCAGCCTAACATCCAGTCGCCACCAGAGTGTAATTTCCACTGACTTGAAGCCCCACAGATATTTTTGATTTCCCAACAGCTGCCATTATACAAATTTAAATGCAAAACGGACAATACACCAAAGCAGATGTTCTAGGAAATCTGATTAATTGCAAAGAGTTGGGGAGACTGGAAGGCTGCCTTCCTCGGCACATTCTTGAGCAGAGCTGCTTGCATGTTCCCTTGGTATGTTTGGATGTGGCTTTATTACATCTCACAATGTCCACTCGGCTCTAAAGCCAGAAATGAACATTGACGTATTACATTCTTAAAAGCACCATAAGCCCCTTTATGGAGCTGAGGTGCTCTATAAATATTCCTCATTTATCTATCTCACTATAGCACCTGTCAAATACGGAACCATTTACCCAGCCCTAGGGTCTGGTGGAGCCTGTGAGGTCCAAGAGAACGTCCTGACAGTAGCTTACTAGATTAGTGTACTCATCCCTGTGTGACTTAATTCTTACCTGTAAGGGGGATATGCCAGCAGGGCCGTGTGGAGATCCAGGAGGACAATGGTGATCCTATTGACAGGAAAGTATCCTGACAAGGGCTGGTATTGTCATCAAGGTCTCCTTAGTAGCCACATCCCATATGTGAACTTCTCCCATGCTCCACGAAGGTCTCTCTCTCTCTAGGCATTCCCCTCAGTGAGATGGGGTAAAGGAGTTGCAAGTCATGAACTCTACCCTGAAATTCATCAGAAGGAGAAGGTCGTTAGTGGAATTTACATTGCTGTGATAAAAAGTATCCAAGAAAAGACAAATGAAAGAGGAAATATTCATTTTGGTTCACAGTTTTGGCTCCAGATGCTTGTAGTGAGATAGAACATCCTGACAAATGGCATAGTGGATTATATCTGCCCACTCTGTGACAGCCAGACACCAGAGAGACAAGTAAGTAAGGACAGGACGAGGCCTGGGACAAGGTCTACCCTTCAAAGGCACATCCTTGTTCCTGCCATTACTACCCTTCAGGAAAAAAAGACCTGATTCTTAGGCACAAAGCCCATGTAGTTCCTGGCTTCATCTAGTACAGGAACTCTGAAATCCCAGAGGAAACCAGCGAGCATGAGTACTACGGGAATGGCATGATGGGATTACCAGCTTATGTCATTAACAGGTGCTGTATAGCCGAGGCCTTCTACCCTCACAGCCCTGAGATGACCACAGGTAACAGTGTCACTGTTTATATCATTGACCAGAATCCTGGTTACCTTGGGCCCCAGTTTTCTATTCCATATGGTGAGTTCAAAGACAATGCCACACTCTATAGCTCTGTGCTAGCACACACACACACACACACACACACACACACACACACACACACACACACACACACCACCAAGTGCTTGACAAATGAGCAAATATAGTCTCAGGAGGTTGGGTCTACGGGCACTGACTATCCCCTATTCTCTATTCATTGCTGTATGCTGGCACCCGCAGAGGGTTCAGTGCCCACTTACTGACTCTATAGTGGCTCAGCACAACATTTCTCACATTAACAATAGTGATCTTGACTCTTCCATCTAGTGTGCTTTTATTCTTGGCGGGTCCCAGCTCACTGCTCCCAACTCAGAGCCCTGAACAGGACATGGATCTGCAGCAGTCCTCCCCACCAAAGTCTCTTTCTAGCCTATCACCTAGTTTTATAGTCTTAATAACAGAACTTCCCCTTAATGACTCCTCATGCAGTTTTTTGTTTCTGGTTGGCACTGAACTCCAGAGGAGAAGTAGGCCCATGACACCCAAGACCTTGGGAGATGTCATCCCTATAATATCCCCATGAGTTTGCAGTCCCTGTAAGCAATGCTTGGGAAGGTTACTCATAGAGAAGTGCAGTTAGCTTGCTGAACTTCATACCAAGAAGGCCTCACTAACTGAAGAGGCTAAGTTCAGAGCCAGGGCCCTCCATTTCAGGCTGGCAACTGCAGTTACTTAGAGGTTGTCTGAAAGCTCCTTAAGAATAGAGTTTGTGGGACTGAAGAATAGCAAAAACACATCTGGGCAATGGCTAACTGCATGTGTGCAAGGGCCCCAGCGAAATATCTACCTGCAATTTAACTTCCTGAATCAGTCTGCATGGAATGGGTTGAACTGCAGTAACAAACATGCCAATATCTTTAGGATCTATTTCACTACAAAACCTCCAACAATGTAGGTTCTTTTTTTTTCCCCTGTATGTCCCAGGAGGTTCATCTGTAGCGCTCTAGATTTTAGGCTAGCAGAGGCTGTCTCGACTCAAGACAGGATTTATTTGCCCTGGTTTTAAAACTCCTCTCTTCCCCCACATCTCACAGGTCAGAACCAGTCACAGGGACTTCTCCAACCCGACAAGTGCTCAAGGAGCAGGAAATCAGTCACACTTGGTTGTGTCACAGTCAACCACCACCGTTTCTATGTCACTACACTGTAGAAGCTGGGAGGAAGCTGACACCAGTAAATGTCATTAAGAGAACATGCTGTGCCAGAGTGTCCCATACACTTTGCACATAATAACTCCATCACTGTCAATCACATGGACACTGCCCCAGGCACTGCAGGCTGAGGCATGGAGAGCCTTCTCCTTCTCTCCCAACCCCTAATGGACTCAGCTTCTCTGAGCTCTCCTCCCCCATTTTTAAGACTAGAGGCATAATTCCTACCCTGTTTCCCCTCCCACGTTCCAAATGGATCCCAGCTGGAGGGTCTTCAGAGAACCCTCCCCACCTCAAGGCAGGGGGACTGAGAGGAACAGCCTGAATTTCATTCTACACTGAGCGAAGGGCACACCTTGCCTGATGAATGGGGAACTGTATCTTACCAAGGGTATGTACGAATACCAGGATTTCAGAAGGCTAGGGGATGGACAGGCCTTTGAAAGCTTTGTGTTTTGTCAAGTCAATAATTATTTATAATCACCATCATTTCACAACAGAGAGGGCAACATGAGGCCAAAGGCACAGAGAAGGTGTAATTTTAGAATAAAGGAAAATGTACCCTCTAAATTAAGTAAGTATAACTATACAAAACACCGGTCATGTTTTCTTTTCTCACTTCACTGAAAATCGGAGCAAAAGTCAGCACAGGGCAGCACCAGCTCCTGGGAGTGGACAGTCTCGCCCCATATGGCAGGAGGAGACTCTGTAGCCACAGCTAATGAGTCCTCTTTGGGAAGTAGGCAGCTAGTGTCGGCCATGAGTGACTGATGGAGCACTATAGGTGGGAGACCAGAGGCAGAGTCCCCAGAAATCACTCATGACACTCTCACCCATACAACACCACCCTCCCAGAGTCGGTGGTAGGATGCTTCATCATCTCCTGTGTCACTCAGACACAGGGACTAACCTGAAAGAAACATAGGAAGGAAGATAGGGTTTTGGTTTTTGGTTTTGTTTTTGCTTATGGTTTCAGAGGTTTGCATCCAGTATTTTCTGGCTCCATTGATTCTGGGCCTATGGTGGAGTATAACATCCTGGAAGAATGACAGAACTGCTTCTCTTGTGGAAGACAGGAAGCAGAGGATGGAAGGAAGAGACAGGATAAATGTCTCAGAGTCTTGATGATAGACACCAACTCCCTCCAACTAAATTTTGCTTCCACAGACCCACTCAGTCCAGCAGTCTACTCAGATGTTGAATCTGTCAGTTCACTGATAAGGTTAGAGCCTTCAGGACCTCACTGCTTTTAGAAATGTCTCCACAGACACAGCACACCCAGAGGTGGGCTTTACTACCCTCCTAGGGCACGCAGTCCAGTCAAGCTGACTCTCAATCTTAGATGTCACAACCTCCTCACACATCTCTTCTCTGCCTACTCTGAGATCCCAAGCCCTGGGCTCTCCTGGAATCCTTGGGCTGGCGATATACATAGCCTTCTTCATGGTGGCACCTTCTTTAAAGAACTTCCCTTAAGTCCCTTTTCCTTGATCATCTGCTCTTGATTAAAAGGCCATGAAGAATTAATTTACCAAAACTTTAATAGCCGGATGCAGCAGACATGTATGTAATTTAATGACAGCTCCAGACCCAATTCTCATGGTAACAATTGTCCTAAGGCTGCTACTATGATGGCAGAGTGGAAGCAGATGAGTCCTGCTTTCACTGTGCTAATGGTCTCAAGGTCAGCCTTCTGATTTCCACTTCTTTCAGGCTTACACTAGACCTGCATGGTGAGTATGAATGATGTTAGAGTCTGAAAGAGAGCCAGTGAAGTTGGAGCTTCTTTCTAGGAACTGGGGAGGAAAGCAGGGCTGGACATGCTGTGATATCAGTTGAATTTCCATCCTTGTGTTAGTCTGCATATTTTGATGATAAGTTCCAAACTCTCCACTATAATAGACCAAAGCAATGATGGGACTCTACTGGCTTCTGAAAATGAAGAGGCTGGTGTGAGCAAACTCAGCCGCATAGAACACGTCCTCATTTTACTTCTAGTTACAGAAAATGCTGGCTGGACTTGGACTGGGTACTTGACAGGTACTGGTTGCAAACACTGTGGTGGGATCAAAGCAAATATAAATGAAACATGCTATCTTAAAGAGCGTGCAATCTTGCTCGGGGAAAAACTTCAGCAGGTAACCAAGAATATTGTAAGTGACCTGTGCACAGCACTGCTCTCTCAGAGCTTGGTGTTCCTTACACAGAACACCCTTACAATCAACTCAATTTTGCTTCTGGCCATAGCTTCCTTAATTCTCTGATCTACATGTGCTTATCCCAGAAGCATGGTTAAGAGTCCAGCATCCAGCCCACGTGGGAGATCTGCATTTGAACCCTGGTGTGCCATTCATGAGGTCTGAGATCTCCCACAAGTGTGATGATTAATCTTGACTGTCAACTTGATTGTAATGAGAAATGCCTAGGGGACTGATAAAGTGCATCCCTGAGTGTGTCTGTGAGGACATTCAAAGAGATAATTAGATCATGAGGGCTCTGACCTATGAATGGACTCATCTCTTGATGGACTCATAATAGGATGGCATTATTGGGAGGTGGTGAAAGGTAAGAGCAAGTGGGTCACTGGTGGGGTGGTTCCTTGGTTCTACATCTCTCTTTAGTCTTTTCCCAAATTGCTCTCTCTCTCTGCCTTCTGTCTTCACAGGACATCTTCCTCCACACACTCCTGCCACCATGCTGTTCTGTTCAAGTGCTTAAAGCAAGACTGGTCACCAGTAAACTGAATCCTCTGAAGCCATGCGCCAAAGAAATCCTGGTTCACATTCTTTCTGTTGCATATTTAGTTACAGTGATGACTCTAGTTTCAAAAACAACTTGGGGAGGAAAGAGTTTATTTTAACTTATGAGTTATAGTACATCATTGGGAGAAGCCAAGGCAGGAACTCAAGGAAGGAACTTGAAGCAGAAATCACAGAGAAACACTGCTTATTGGTTCGCTCCCAGGATCACAGTCAGCTTCCTTTCTTACACAATCAGCCCAGGCCCACCTGCCTAAGGACAAGACTAACCACAGTAGTCTGATCCCTTCTACATCAATTAGTAAACAAGAAAACACCTCCAAAGATGTGTCCACAGACAAACCCAATTGAGACGCTCCTTAATTGAAGTTCCCTCTTTCCAGTGTGCCAAATTGGTGACAAAATTAACCTGGACAGAAAGGAAAAAAAAAGAGAATGCAAAAATCAATAAATTTCTTTATATCTCTCCAGTGGGGAGACTCTTCTCTTCTAGCTGTTGGATGGTTGGTGGGGTT